CTAGCACGTCCCCGCCGGGGCGTCCACAGACTGACCTGCCCTGTGGTGTTTCTGCACACCCACCCCTCCCCCGCTGCAATCTGTCCCCCTCCACGCCGACTGGGCCCGGGCCCGCCGGACCCTGGATCGCCACCAGGGCCCATCTCTGGGTCTCACCTCACAGGTTACCGGAGACCACGGTGGTCTACCCTGCAGATGTGGTCCTGTTTGAGGGCATCTTGGTGTTCTACAGCCAGGAGGTCCGCGACATGTTTCACCTGCGCCTCTTCGTGGACACGGACTCCGACGTCAGGCTGTCGCGAAGAGGTGAGGCGGACGCGGGCCTCTCTGCCCCCGGCCCAGGCCGGCCGCCGGTCCTCACTGCCCTCCTCTTCTTGCCCCAGTTCTCCGGGACGTGCACCGCGGGAGGGATCTGGAGCAGATTCTGACCCAGTACACCACCTTTGTGAAGCCGGCCTTCGAGGAGTTCTGCCTGCCGGTACCTTTCGCCTACTCGGGACCCTCCTTTTCTCCCTCTTCGAGAGGGACCCCTGGCGCCCTGTTCCGGGAGAGCTGAATCGTGGGTGCACAGGGTCTGATTTACGAATGGAGAGATTAGCCCACTGCACCTCGTTCCCAGGCCGTTCCCAGCTCTTGAAGCGTCTTTTGCGTCATCACTTTCTCTGCCTACAAAAGCCCCTCGTCCCCACGTCCACGCGGCTCACCTCCTCTCTGCTGCGGGCCTTGACTCACCCCATGTGCTCACCCCAGGAACCCCCTGCTCCCCCATCTCCAGGCACCTCTGGTCTCACACTCCCTGCTTTGCTGGCCCCTCTCACAACGGGAAACGCCACGAAGGCAGGGACGTGTTTGCTCGCGGCCCAAACGGACACAGATCTGGCACACCGTAGGCACTTCGTCCCCCTGTCCCTGCCGCGGGTTTCTCCAGGCTGCCCGTGGCTGGCTCTCCAGGTCCAGGTGGCCTGCGGGGAGGCCTTCACTGTTGCACGGCCATCTGTCGTGTCCTCCACCTTCCGTCCTAACTGGATAGGGTTTCCAGGTGCTTCTCAGGGGAAACTTAATATTTTGCTTCTTAAAAGTGAAATACGGCACAAAGGCACTCGAACCCGGCTTCCTGCTTCGGTTAAGTTGGACAAACGAGTTCCCTCTCCCGTTGCTTGAAGAGAACGTTTTTTTATCTCACGTTCACGTTTCCAGAAGCGCCCGGAGAATGGTTAGAGAAGTAAATGGTTATATCCCGTTATTCACAGAAAGATGTTTGGCAAAGTAGGTGGTTTACGGCAAAACTCTGGGTGCCCGGTCTGACGGTGACCCTGCGTGGACCGCCCTTGAACTTGCCACTTGTTTTACTCACAGCCTCACACCGAGTCCAGCCCGGGTGGCCGTGTCCCTCCCCCACCCCCGGGAGCACGACCTTTCTCAGCTCTGCATTGGGTTCCATCCCTCCTGCCCCTCGCCGTCCCCTCATCTGCACCCCACCAGTGAGCAAACCTTGTGGAACCAGCCTGGCCCCCTGTGCTCATGTCCTCGGTGGGTCCCCACCGCCGGCCCGTGTGGCTCATCTCTTGTGACGTGCCCTGTTGGTCCGTATCGACACGCCTGCAACCTTGCACACTCCGCGGGTCGGTCCCTCAGCCCCGACCCGTTTCTCTTTGCTCTCCCTCTGCTTTGCCTGATTCACGTGTGTCCCCCTCAGCGGCATCTAGTTGGGGTCGCTCCTCAGTGGCCCTGTGCCTCCTAGTGTATCTGTCTCCCTGCCCGTACCTAGAGGGGCACCTGCTGGGGAGGGGTTAGCGAGGGAGCAGGTGCTGACGACGGCCGGGATCCAGTCTGCTGCCACCGGCCTGCTCACCGCACCGGGCCTCCTGCAGAAAGCTTCCTAGTTCCTGAGGAGGAAGGTCACGTGTTGTGGCAGGACGCCCCGCTGCACTTGGCTCGGCGCGCTGTTTGCACAGAGAAATGTTCCCACGGTGGCGTCCACGGGAAAGCGCGAGAGACACCAGGGGAGAGACACGTCTCTTCCGGCTGCCTCCGCTTCTCCTTGTTTTGCCTCTTGGGTCACTGCCTCCGGCTCCTGGCTGAGCCCTGAATCCCGGCCCCGCTGTCTGCCACGACACCGGTCCCTGCTACGCCCTGGGGCTGCTCTCCTGCCATTGAATCTGGCCTCAAACAACTAGAAGTCACCCCGGAGCCGGGGGACAGATCCTTACGAGACCCCCCTTTCTGCCTTGCAGACGAAGAAGTATGCCGACGTGATCATCCCCCGAGGGGTGGACAACATGGGTAAGAACCCGCCCCGCCTCCTCCGTCCGCCTCCCAGAGCCCCAAAGCAGACCCTGCCCGGTCCTGGCACCGTTCCTGAGGCTGGGACGGTTGCCTGTCCGTGCACGTTAACAACACAGGTTCCAAGTATTAGAAAAGGGGTTTGACACGTCGTACACCTTAAGCTGACCCGATGCCGGTCGTCAGTTATAGCTCAGTAAAGCTGGGAAAAGATGTGTATCGACGGGGGAGTCCCTCATTCACAGAGAGCGGCCTACCCAGGCTCTTGGTTCACAGAAACCCCCGCAGACCGGGCCGCCGAGTTTTACTGTGCTCACTGCCCGACCCGCGTCTTTCTGTCTGCTGAGACGCGGTGCCACCAGGCCCAGGGCCGGCGCGGGCAGGCGCGGCCCAGCGAGCCCGCGGCAGATTTTTCGCTGGCCTGGAGGCCTCGAGGGGGAACGGGCGCGGCTCAGTGCGCTCTGTCTCTGCTACAGTGGCCATCAACCTGATTGTGCAGCACATCCAGGACATCCTGAGCGGCGACATCTGCAAGTGGCACCGAGGGTCCAATGGGCGGAGCTACAAGAGGACATTTCCCGAGCCGGGAGACCATCCCGCGGTGCTGACCTCCGGCAAGCGATCGCACTTGGAGTCCAGCAGCAGACCCCACTGAGCGGCGGGGTGCCCGGCCGCCCGGGCAGGCCCCCTGCTCCCACCCCGACAGACCGTTCCGGCTGTGTCCGGAGATGCCCGCCCCCCCTCCCCCCCCCGTGGATGCAGCTGCTGCTTCCTCTCTGCGTCTCACGGTACAGACGGGGGGTGGGGGTGGAGCGCGAGGATCACGGGGTTCCTCCCTGTTGTGGGCAGACCTGCACCTGTGACACGCAGCCCCCCGGGATGGCGGCAGGCCCTCCTGCTGCCTTCACCTGCTTCCTCACGTTCAGGAAGCTTCGAGTCTATCTTTAAGTTACTGAGAAGCGTGCCACAGAACGTGTGGCGAGCAAGTCACGTATTTCGGGAGCATTGAGCAGCCCGCCTGGACGCCGTGGCTGTCCCGGTGTGTTCGACGGGAACCCACAGCGTGAGGGACTTTGTCCCGGACGGTCTGGTTCCCACACAACGTGTGACCGAAACATAGGTTTGGAGAGGGAGCGTTTCCCCTTTTTACGTGTTACACGTGCGAGTGTTTTGTTTCGTTATTTATTCTACCGTTAGTTGTGACCTAGTGACGGAGTCTCGTGCCCCGCAGTGGGGTGCGACCCGGTCTGGCACGCACGGATGTAGGAGCCACGGAGGGCTCTCCTTCCTCCTGGCCTGTGCGCCAAGGGCAGAGTCGAGGAACGAGCCCTGGGAACAAGCTTTCGTTAGCCAGCCTCGGCCGCAGGGGACGGGCCCCGCTCCCCCGGCCCAAGCCCTGTCCCCGGCCCTGCGGGTTGGGACAGGAGGCAGGCTGGCGGCCCGCCGTGTCCACACACGGTCCTACTCGGGGTCAGGCCTCCCCGTTTGCAGGAGCCACCTGGGCCCCGCGTGCTCTGCGGACAGGCCTTCCCGAGTCGGGCACACCATCCAAAGGCAGCCCGTCTCCCTGCACACACCTAGAGTCCGCGGCCGCACAGACGATGCCCGGGCTCCATGTTGTCCTGCTTTGTCTTCCCCTCCCCAGTGGCCCCGTTCCTGTAAAAGCGACGCTTTGCCGTTGCCACCGGCTAAACCGCACGGGCATTTCTCGTTTCCTCCTAGCGAGTACTGTGTGTAGTGACACGGATGGGACCTCAGTTGGGCTTGGCCGAGCTCCGTGGCTGCTCTCTGAGGTGTGTGTGACAGTCTTGTCCAGGTTATTTTCTCCCCTTCTGGAGAGAGAATCAATAAATAACACCAGTTACCAATACCAATTTGTCCCTTTTTTAATTCTACACAGAAGGCAGGTTCAGGACGCGGATCCGTGGGGCTGGAATACACGTCACGTGCTGCAGGTGCCGCTCGCCCACGCACCTCAGCCGAACCCCGCAGGGGCGGGGGGCTGAGAGTCGGCGGCAGTGAGGGTCCTCACTGCAGTGGCCAGAATCCCACCTCTGCTTCTTCAAAGGCTTATCACCCGGTAGCTTGTGTGACACCACCGTGTTCGGAGCGCGTCCTCGAGACCTCACCGGGGGCAGGTCCAGCGGGCGCTCGGGAGAGCGACCGGGGCCTTGGCTGGCGCGACCCTCGCTCCCTTCCTGTTTCTCCTCCAGCGTGAGTCCCACACTAGCCTGGTTCGGGAGGTTCTTGGGCGTTAGTGGACCCAGAAGGCCGCGTTCTTTAACGCCTGGAACAAAGAAACTTTGTTGCTCAAAATGAACTTTGCTTATCTGAGGACTGTTTGAAAAATGAAAGCGCAGTAGCCCGGCCAGCCGGCCAGGCTTAGGGCTACCCTGTCACAAGAACACCCCCATAAAAGTTCTGCCTCGCCCCGGCCCCGGCCCAGACCTTCACCGTGTCTGTGTCCTGCTAGTATTTGCGAATCAAAATGTCCCAGCTGTCCTTCCAGCGAAGGGCCTTCAGTTCGCTGGGGGAGAGTGACTTGTCCCCGTAGGTGAGCGGGCGCAGCGTGTTGAACACGTGACAGGCACAGGAGTACCACGCCACAAGCAGGGCGCTGAAGAGGCTCCTCAGGAGCTGGGTCCTGCGGGCACCAGGGCAGGGCACGGGCATGAGGGACCCTGTCACCCTCCTCACGCCCTGCCTGATGTGCCGAAAGTGACCCTCGTGCACCTTCCCGAATCTTCCATCTACACCCACGATCCCACAGTAGCGTCCCCACATCCAGCGTCGTCGTACCACAGCCCTCCCGAGAGGCTCTGCGGCCCCTGACCACCCCGGATCCCGAGTCCATGCCCTTTGGTCCGGCTTCCAGAACTCGGGTTTGCACATCTCTCTGCTGTAGCTCTGTGCACCGGGCAGCCCCGCCACGGGGGTCCTTCCCCGTCTCCCACGCCCGCACCTCCTCTCCCAGCCAGCCCCAGCTTCCTCCCCTGGCGTCCCTGCTGTGACCTTAGCCCGTCCCACGCCACACTGAAGCCGTCACTCCGGGGCCCCGGGGAGGGCCTGCACCTGCACAGGTGGTCACTAATGTGCTGCAAGACCACGGGGAGCAGAAGGATCTGGAAGGTGAGCGCCGGCAGGTAGTGGTACAGGAAGAGCGTCTTCTCCATCAGGAAGAAGGGGACGTAGTTCACCGCCCAGCCGCCGGCACACAGAGCCCCCGCCAGCACCCAGCGCAGCCAGGAATCTGGGGCGGGAAGGTCACCCTGAGCCAGCGCTGCTGACTCAGGCCTCACCCGCAAAGGCCCTGTGGGTCCCCGGAGCTGCCTGCCTCATCTTTCAGGGTGCCCACTCGCTCCTCCCCCACCTCCTGACCCTTCCCGTGACCCCTGGGGAAAGAGCGGACTGTGTCCTGTGTCGTAAGAACTTTCCAGTGGCTTCCTGCGGGGTCCTCACCATCCCGACCCTCTGAGCCACACCAGCCCCCGGGGTGGGTGGGGGGGCAGGCCCAGCTGGTCCCCACGGTCCCTGGCTTGTCCGGGATCACCACCAAGTGGGTCAGCCTCCCGTAAGAGCCGTAAGGGGCTGTGTTTGTGCGCCCGGCCGGCCCGCTGGGTCAAGAGTCAGCGGGAAGAGTGGAGACGGGCCACACGGCTCCCGAGGCCTTTGTGGCCCCGCCCTGCCCCAGGTCCTTACAGCTCTTCGTCTCAAGATGGTTTACAGTGGTTTCTATTACTGTAAAGCACCCCTGCCCGAGAGATCGCCTGCTGGCCACTCTGTGCCATCCAGCCATGCCGAGCGTGCAGGCACTCAGGCTGTCACGTCCTGAGGTCACAGCAAGCGCTGCCTGGTACCCACACTTCCCCGGAGAAGCCTCTGGCACAACTGGGGAAGTCAACCACAACATTTTGTCTCTAGGGAGACAAAAATTGATTTAAGTTCCTTCTATGCAGAAAATCGTCTAAGGTGCAGGATCCTGGTGAGGCCGGGCTGTCACCGCAAGTGCTGTGAATGCCCGTCAGAAACAAGCTGCACATTCGGGGCACCTGGGGGGCTCAGTCGGTTAAGCGTCTGACCGGCTCAGGGCACAATCTCGCGACTCACAAGCTCATGAGTTCGAGCCCGGCGCTTGGAGGCTGGAGCCTGCTTCAGATTCTGTGTCTCCCTCTCTCCCTGCCCCTCTGCTGCCCACGCTCTCTTTTTTTAATGTTTGCTTTCGAGAAAGAGACAAAAAGAAAGAAACCGGCCGCACTAACCCTCAGGGAGGTCACAGATCTTTCTTCGGCGTCTAAGCAGGTACCAGAAGAAGAGCAGAGTGTAGACCACAGTGGCGAGGCTGGCCGAAGCCCAGATCACGACGTTCCCGAGCAGGTGGATCTGAGCCTGTGAGCACACAGGGACACACCGTCGGCCATCGACCGCCCAGAGGGATAAACCCTCAATGACGCTCGCCTGCCTGCCGGCCTTCAGCCCAAACGCTGGCGCAGGCTGGGACCCCACTGCCGATGGACGTGCCTATTCCCAATGAGTCTCCCTCTGGAAAAGTGCTAAGCTCCTTGATCTGGTAGGCAGAAACCCAGCCGGGCGCGGCCGGCACTCTTACATTAACAAGGGCCAACCCAGAGCCACAAAGGGCCAAGGACCCTGCTTCCCGGTAAGTGATGGCTCGTCCCCCGCTCCGGCGGGAACGAGAGAGGTGAGCGTTTTCAGCATGAAAATTTGGGGAGTATCTGCTGGCAACCGACTGGGCGCCAGCTCCAGGGCCGTTGGTCCTACTGGGACAAGAGGGACGATACACATGGAAACAGCACTGGCGGGCTCGGCCGCTCATGCTCCACGGAAAATACAGCTTTTGTCAGGAAAGGGGAACAGCGTTGCTCCCCCCAGAGCAGTAAAACCTGGTTCCCGTCAACGTGCAGACGCGTAGGACCTTACTCGTCACGTGAGAGAGGGAGCACCCTCCTGGCAGGAGCACTGACCCTGTGCTGCCGACTCGTGTAGGGAAAAAGCCCATCGTGGGCTTCCGTGCGGCGGAAGGCCCTGGAGGAAGCCAGGCTGGGTAGGACGCGGTGGCTGCCCTCAACGCCACGGGAGTCTCGAGGGACGACCGTGACGGCCGCCAGCGCGAGCACCCACTTACGCTGGTCCTGGGATGCAGCCAGTAAGCGATGCTGGTGTCCAGTGTGACCCAGTCCAGTGGCGATGAGCTGTACTTGTGCTCCGAGCCGTCGCTCTTGGCCGTCAGCATTCTCCACTGCAACAAGGCCACAGGCTTGAGGCGGGCGGACAGCCAGACGCCTCACCGCGCAGGGACCTGTCCCGGTCACGGGGGCATCCCGCTTCCCGAGACGCGGCCCCAGAGCTCCAGCCACCCTGTCTGCAGACGAGAGAACTGAACTTGGTGCTGAGAACGCTTTTAGAGACGGGACCCCGACTTTCTGCTTCTGACCTCTCTCGGGCCCCATCGTGTTGACCGTGGCACACGATGACCTGACCCGGGGGGGCTCAGCGTGTACCACGCTGCTGGCTGGGCTCTGACTACTCCTGCCCCTGACATCACAGGCCCCCCGGGCTGACGGTGGGGCACTGGCCACTTCCGGAGACAGAGGAGCCCGCCCCACTGAGCCAGGCCCCAGGCTGACGCCGGGGAGGGAGCCGCTCTCCGGGGCGCGGTGCCGTATGGCCGGGAGCCCGCTCCCCCACGCACGGCCACGGTGCGCCCACCCACCCGCCCCCACCGCGTCACCTGCAGCTCCAGGAACCTGGCCAGGAAGCTCAGGTTCCTGTGAACGTCCATCTGCGTGGGCGAGTGCAATTCCACTTCTCTCTCCTTCTGCTCCTGGCCTGACAGACACACCGGACCCAGAAGAACGTGAGCGGAAGGTCGGGGAGCCCGCAACACAGCCGTCGGCGTGGTGAAAAGCGGGCCTCCCCCTCCTCAGACCGCCCACAGCGGCTGCGTCTAACCGTGTCACTCCGCTCGGCTCTCCCCCCGCAATGGGACGGCACCCACCAAATCTAGATCTTTCCAGTCAGGCAGCTCAGCTCATACTGCCTTCCGGCAACACTTCCGAGTGACGGCTTTGGTTGCTCACGGCTCGGCTGAGCGGGGAGCAGCGTGGACGGTGCGTCCAGCCCCTGCCGGAACCAGAGCCCGCGGGGCCAGCGTCCTGGTAAAGGGGCGGCGACGGGTGGCCAGCGGGCCAGGCCGGACTCACTTTTGCCGTAGCGGTGCTCCTCCACGTTCCACACGGTGCTCTCGTGGTAGCCCCGCGACAGCTTCTCCCCGACGACCTCCAGCTGCCGGAACCCCCAGTCCGGGAGGTGTGCCCCGCTCAGCTGGCAAAACCGAGGGAGGCGGGGCGTGACTGGGAGGCTCGAGGCCCCGGCTCAGGCCCGCCGCCCCCGCCACCCGGTCACTTTGTCTGCAGCCCCCAAGGGCGACAGCCTCTCCCCCGTGGGGCCGTCACGGTGGGATCCAGTGGTGAGAAGTTATAAAGTCCTCCCTTGTCAGTGGGCAGGAAACACGGCGAGGACCTTGGCCAGATGCGCTGCCCGCTAGGAGCCCGTTCGGCCCGAAGGATCCGTAAACCGATTTCACGAGCCCCCCGCCCAGACGGGCGAGCCAGACGCGGCGCCCTCTCACCTTCAGGACCGCGGAGGTGTTCACGTGCACCAGGCGGACCTCGGACAAGATGGTCTTCCAAACCCCCGCGTCGGAGTCTCTGTTTACGATGTCCTGTGAAAGCAGACCCCGTCCGTCGTCTCGTTCTGTCCCCCACTTCCTTCCACGGAACGTGAGGACCGGTCACCAGACGACACTGCCCCAGGCCGGCACGAGGGGCCAAGCTCCGGGAAGCTAAGAGGATGGTGGCCCTGACCTCGCTGCGGACACCCAAGCACAGGTGCCGGTGCCGCGGGTCCGGGGCACACACCGCCCTCCCGCAGAGTTGAGGGACCTCCGAGTGCTGCCTTCTCTGGCAAGTGCACACGTGGTCCCCGACAGGTCCTTGGAAGGGACTCCCCAGAATGCATGACAGAAACACGAACGTCACAAGAGCACTGGCCTTGTCATATCTTATCGCAGCCTCAAGAAGACCCCGTGAGGCCTGTGCTGCCGGTGAGAACCAGAGGGCCTGGGGGGCCCAGTGGGCACGGCGAGGAGGCCTGGCCGAGGAGCACGGCCTATGCCAGCCATCTTCCGGCCCTGTCCCAGCTCTGTGAGCTCCCGTGGGAAGTGTGGGTGCGTGGGGCTGAAGGTGCTACCGGC